CAGCAATATTTCCAATTTTTTATAACTGGACTGTTACCCCACATCTTACTGCAGAGACATTTTTGGGAATGCAATGTGGTTTCCATATTCACCCTTACTAGTGATATTTAAAGTGAATGCTGTTACAAATAATGCATTGTAGTAATAAACAAAGTTGTCACCGTGGGTGATAGAATTCTTCCTGGCTGCACATGTAGGCATCTCTACAACAGAACAATCAAATGTTGTTTGTCCTGGTTAACTGTTGGAAAATAAATCAATATTTGCTTGTTGGAATAAAAATGCATGACTTGATTCATACTTATACATATATTTGCACTGGGGAAGAGTCATAGCTCTGTTTTGATAGCATTTCTGCATATGTGGTTTTAGAAATGTGAGTTCAGACATGCCGTTCATAACTTACTTCACAGAATTATCACAATAATCCTACTAAATAACCCTGTAAGGTTGGCCAGTCATCCTCCATCAAAGAAGGAGAAAAGACTGAGGTCACGCACAACTAGCAAACTCATAATGCCTTTCCTACTCAGGTGCTCTCTAGATGTTTTGAATGATGCAAACAGATTTCTAAACAGGATCAGCAGAGCTGGCTTGGAACAGCTCAGTCTCAGGAATATGGAGGCTTCCTACTCCTAAATATTTCTTGGTGCTTTTGAGCAGAGCACTACAATACTAGAATGGGAACCCCAGAAACTTCTATGTGGATGTTACGCACTAAGAAATCCTTCCCTGAATCTGGTGCTCTTCAAATGTTTCAGCCTGCAACTCTCACCATTGGCCATGATGGCTGGGAATGATGGGTTGCAGTCAAATATATCTAAAGGGCGCAAGATTGGGGAAGGCTGCCATAATAAGACTTGAATTAAGTGCATGGCTCTTCCAAGCCATTAAACTAGCCTTCCCCAAGTTCGTGCTCTCTAGATATGCTGGGAGTATCCCCCGTCAGTATGACCACTGTGGGAATTAAAACCAAAAGCATCTGGAGGACACTGGGCTGCCTTCCTCTGCAGAAAAGCACCAACCCACATTCACAGCAATGATAATATATGACTTATTTTATTCAACTCTTCCTCCCCAAAGCTTACAGCAGTGAACTGTCCCAAAATTCTGTCTTGACAACAATCTTATGAAGTAGGTTAGGAAGAAAGAGAGAGAAGAAAATAAAGGAAGTAACTAATCCAAAGTCATTGAGGAAATGCCATGTCACAATATTATTATTAAGTCCCTCGGGGTCTAATAATGTCTGTAAGTCATTTGTGGCCCAAACACGCCACCCCACGGGCAAGGCAACTTTTCAACCCTTCGCAGATGGGAGGAGTGAAAAGCACCCTGTGCATGCACAGAAGTAGCCTTAACAACCACTGCACAAGCCCAAAGCCTGGACCTGCCAGCACTGCCTCCTTCAGTCTTTCCCTGGACTGCAACTCCCACCAACCTCCTGCCCGCCTTGACTTGTGTCTCTCTAAGCTGCGGTGATAGGAATTACCGCACTAGGGAGCGGCCGACTGAATTAGCGCGAGGCTTTCTAGGCCTGTTCAATGCAAACAGCAAATGCTGCCTGGGGGATTATGGGAATTGCAGTCCGACACAGTTTAGAGAGAACCGAGCTTGAGAGGCGTCAGAGGATGGGAAATGCTGGACAAACGAGTTCCCACTGTGGGGCTAAGCCCCGCGAAGATTGCACACAAAACGGAAGTACCCTCTCCCCCACTTCCGGTTCCTCTTCCAGATACCACTCCCTCAAAACTTGGGCTCTTTCTTCCCCCCTCAGGAGATTGCTGCTTTCTCACCCTCCGGTCGGAGATAAGAAGTCTGCATCCTCCTCCTCGGCGCCCCCAAACATCCCGCCGCCGTCCGTCCGTCCGTCCAAGCCGGTGGGCAGTGACGCAAAGCGCGGCGAAGAGTTGACCGACAATGTCGTAAAAAGCACCCCCCCCCCCCGGGATGGCCAAGCTAAAGAGGGAGACGAATAGAAAGGAAAGGACGCCGGCTGGGCCGAAGCACGTGACCGCTACAACTCGCCGGAAGGCTCAATCTTCCTCCTGTCGCGGGCGCGGGTTTGTACCTGGGCGGAGCGCGGCGGAGCCAACCAGAAATGGCTGCGCGGGAAGGGGTGGGGATAGCACGTGACGCGCGCGGCGCCCAATGGGGGAGCGGGGCAGGCGGCCGGCTCTGCTCGCGGACACGTCTCTGAGGCGGAGGGAGGAGAGGTCGTCGGGAGGGACGCGCGGCGAGGAGAGCGCGGGCGCCCGGCCAGTGAGTGAATGACGGGGGGAGGGCGGCCTGTTCCGGGCCGTGCCCCGGCGCAGGGGGCTGGTGGCGGTGCCGGTTCTTGTCCCCTCTGGGAAGATCGGGCAGGAAAAGGAGGTCATCCTTGCTCAACCTGAGGTAGTCCGCGCTGTTTGGACTACAGCTCCCACCATCCCCAGCCAGCACGGTGTATCCTGCCTGCCCCAACGAAAGCTGCTGGAGAGGAGCTTGGCTGCGATTCCCACACTTCCCAGCCAGTTTAGCCCAGCCTACGTGGAAGGCACTTGTGCTGCCCTCCCCACAACCCTGTGCAGTTGGCGATGAGGAGAATTGTTGCACAAGCCCCATCTGCGGGAGCGCCATGTTGGGAAGGGCCCTGGCTAATGAGAAGGGAAGAAAATCAGTGGGAGCGGCGATGTTTTAATAAATAAATAAATAAATCAGGGCGATGAAGCTTTGCTGGAGGGGTGAATGAGTGGAAGCGAGGATTGGAGCCAATGGCTTTCAAAGAGGAGGGGCAGTGGAGAGAGAAGGGCCAAGGAAGAGTGGCTTTCCGGGGGTCCCCCTGCCGCTTCTTTCCATTTTCATCCTCACAACAGCCCTGTGAGGTAGGTAAGGCTGCGAATCAGTGATTGGCCCAAAGGAGCTCCATGTTTGCCAAGTCCCAGTTCAGCATCCTAACCACTGCAGCCCATTGGATCTCCAGTATACCAGGCCTGGGGTGCAAGAGGCTCAGATGTGCAGAAATCCATTGGAAAGCTACATAGCTCCCCCTTTGAGCTTTAATTTTGGGGGAATTGACACACAGTGCAACCCAATTGTAGGTTGTGGGCTATGCTCTAGATGTTTTGATTTTCATTTCCCACCAGACAGCCAACCTGGGTTAGGAATCCTGGAAATTGTAGTCCAGAACATTTAGGAGGCACCAGTTCAGGGAGGTTGTAGTGGGAAAGAAAAATTGGTTACACTGGCTGGAGAAATGCATCTAGGATTGTCAGCCAATGGAACTAGCTTTCCAGGTGACTGGTGTATATGATCTAATCCTACATATCCACCTACATAATATTATAAATTAGCCATTGATTGATTGATTGATTGATTGCATTTATATACCACCCTAATAGCTCTCTGGGTGGTTTACAAATCCCTCTCTTTTCAATTGATGTGAGCCATCAATGCAAAATCTAAAAAAGTCAGTGTGGATGCTTGGAAATGCAATGTTTTTCTCCTGACCCGTAGAGGAATGGCTTGTTTTTTTCCACCTCTGCTTTGATGGCTACTGGTCCTTTAATGACTAGGCTGCCCGGCAAAGATGGAGAAACATTCCAAGCCTTGAATCCTCTAGATTTCCAAAAATACAAAGTTAACACTTAGATCTTCAGAAGGATGCTTTTCAGGCCTGTGCTAGGCTGACTTCTCAAATGTGACACTGACTGCTAGAACCTTGAATCCTTGCTGATATTGCTGAATTTATTCTGTTGCAACTTTGTGGAAAACTGAGCTTTTAGCTGTGCTTATTTGCCTCTAGTTGCTTTTCTGGGCATTTGGCCAAGTTTAGCCATGGTTTAGAATGCCTTTGTGTACCGAGTTGGCTACACAGCTCTCCTAAAGGAATTAAGAACTGATTTTATAAAGTCTTTTACACTTTGTGGATTAACTAAAAAAAAACCTCTTCTGTAATAAGAACTCTCCGAAAAGCTGATTTGGAATTGATGCCTCAGAAACCAGCTGTATTTCCCCCATGAGCTGTGTCTCTAAAAGGCACTTTTTTCCAAACAGACAAGATATTCAAATTCTGTGCACCTTCACTTCTTATTGCTTTGACCGAAAGTGTGGCGTTGATTCAGACAAATGTGTGAGAAGGGGCCTGCCTTTTTCAAATGTTGTTGCTAGATGGGCAAAAGATTTGCGTGCTTGCAAAAATGCAAAGTGGGAGAACAGGAGCTAAAGAGAGTGTCCTTCCCTACAGAGGAAGAGCATAAGCTCCTTGCTTTATTGGGATCAGGGAACAATGCCACTGGGGGCCCCCTCTCTGGATGGAAGTTTCTAACTCTTCTATCAGGCTTCTATCCTCAGTGGAAGTCTAATGATGGAGGCAATTTTGGCTACTCTGTCCGGTGTATGTGTGTTTTGTTTCTTTACATTTTCTTCTAAACAGGCATCTGAGGGTATCTTGACCTCTCTGGTTTTCACCCCTCAGAATACCCCTTTTAAAGAATTCTGGAAGGTCATCCAATACCACTTGAGTGACCTTGGAAGGTGCCACAGCTCTTTCTGTGTTCTTAGCATTTGCCTCCTGGTGTTGTGGCAGCATCTAAAGTTTGAGGAAGGGGAATCTGGAAAATCCAACACTTCCTGGGATGCTTTCCCGGCACCACGGGGTCCCACTCCTTGTTGTTGTGTTGGGTTTAGTTATTTTATTATGTTGTGGTATTTTATTTTAGTTGTTGTTTCAAGTTGTTTTACTTGTTTGTATGTTTTTGTTTTCATTGTATGATGCGTGTGTTTGTGTGAAGAGAGGCATCTTAGAAACTAGTATGTTTCTGATACAGCCTATTGCTCACACAGAAAATGGGTAAAAGCTCTGCTCCCCAACCTGTGCATCATTTCTCGAGGTCTGTTCTGAAGTTCAGCAAGTCAGAGCATGCCTCCGCTCGTGGTTGCAGCAGGGAGTTCCTAGAGAGCAGCGAGCAGAAACTTTACTGCAGGGGTCTCGAACTCGCGGCCCGTGGGCCAATTGCCAGGATGAGCAGGGCACGGGGGAGGGGCCCTGCTGCCTTCAAAGCGCCGGCGGCATCCGGGCCAGCCGTGGGATGAGCGGCCCACCACCACCACGGTGGTGGAATACTTGATGCGGCCCAGCCTCACTCAGACTCTATTTCCAGCGGCCCCCAGGTCAGTTGAGTTTGAGACCCCTGCTTTACTGCTTCTTCAGGATCTTCTTCCAACTTCTTCAGGATCTTATATGTGTTTGGAGGTGCTGTGTTTGCCAGGGTGTGGCCCTGCCCCAAGGGCTTTTGTACCTGATGTCATGCTGCATTTTTCCAGCGGAACTCGAGCTCGAGGATAATCCAGCACCTTGACTGTTCTGCTACAGCTCAGGAGGTGTCATAGGAGGATGCCAGCTTCCACTCCCCCTGTGCTTGCCTGTTGCTAAATCTCTGGCAACTGAGCAGCCACGGACCCAAGCCAGCATTCCCCTGCTGGCCTCCTCCAGCTCAAGCTGCTGAGTGGTTGTTGGAAACTCAGCTGGCCAGCAGACACAGGAATGCTTCTCAAGGAAGGCAAGGGCATGTTGGCTTTCTCTGCCTCGGTGCCACTCTCCTTCGGCTTGGAGGTGGAGGTTTGTTTTGGCTGTCTGCTAATGACACCTGGCAAGCGCTGAGCTAAAACAAATTGCTGACTTCTTCCCATGTTTAGGACTGCGGGGGAGGCAGGGAGCACCCCTAGGATTGGGATTAAGCCTTCGTTGGTCTCCAGCACCTGGCACACAAGATGGATGAACCCTGGACAGGTTGGAGCCTTCACACATCGGCCTGGTTTGAGCATAATACTGAGCCATGGTGTGGTTTCTTGAAATCTGGCAGGTCCCTCAGTTTACACGTAGCAACAACAGATGGCTTAATTGACCCATGGCTTGTCATTTACCAGATCAGCCCCCAAATGGCTGTCAGAGAATTGATCGATTGTGTTGGGAGTGAGAAGAATGGCTGCTCTGGGCTCTTGTTCTCAATGAGCGCTGGCAGGTTTTAGAAGAATCTGAATCAGAATGTAAAACACATCAAAGGGGAGTTGGGGAGGAAGGGCCACTCAGCTGTGACCCTGAAATGAGGGGAGCTAATGCGGATGGCCAAGCTCCCCAGGTGGACAGGTTGGTTTCAACCAAAATATACAGCCGATGGGAGGGGACTTTGAGAATGAGTGCTTCTCAGAAGCAGACCAGGGAGCCCCAGCTCTTGACTCCACGAGCAGGCATTGGCAGAGGCGTACAGCCCCCTTAGACAACTACTGTGTGGACAGGAGGCCAGAAAGCCCCTCCTGAAGAGATGAGGCCTGGGCATGTTCAGAAGGAGAGCTCCTGAAGGTGATTACTGCATTGTGTTCAGCAAATAGCTCTGTGCCTGCTCAGAGATTCATTCTGGGTTATTTGTGCTTCTGGGTCAATAATACTTTGCAAGAAAAATGACCTGAGGCTTTTGAATGCTCAAAGGAGGAAACTTCGGCTCATGACAAATTGTTTGGCCAATTCCTGCATTGTTTGGTTCTCACCTGCTTTCTTCTTCCTTATCTCAAAAGCTTTTGTGGCACTGCAATACTGGCAGGTAGAATGGCTGATTATTTTTTAACCCCTCTTGTATGCCACCTTTGTAATTTGGCAGAACAACCTATGAACAACCCACCGTTCTGGGTTCACCCGTAATAATAACCCATAGTTTAGACAACACAGTTCACAATTCAAAAATAGACTATTGATTTTGTGTGTGTTGCAGAAGCAGGAGGGATTGGTCATGGTCAACTCATAATTTCAGGCTCTTGTATAATGACAACACACAATTTAAGCAATCCATAATATGGATTTTATCATATGTGAACCAAATTGGTGTCAAAACCCTTCCTTGCAAACTTGCAAATATGGTACATTGTTGACTTACAGAGTCTTGTTCAAGCCATGACTTGGTTTGCATGAAATGACTACCCATTGGATTGTTATACTCAGCAACCTGCAAAGGAACTGATCACGTGTTGCTGAGAAAAGTGGAAGGAACAAACATATCCCACCATGCATGACAACCCATCTATTTCTAAAACAGAAATTTGTTATATACTAACATCTGCCATGGTTTGTCAGGATGTCTGGACTAAATGTGTGGCTTAAATATAGCTTGCTTGTGTTACTGTCCACCTTGGAAGGGCAAGAGCAGCCTGAAAAAGGAAAAGCCAGGAGAGAAACAGATGAGAAATGAAAACAAGCCCTGGTTTGTTTGAGCAAGAAAATGTATGGCTGAAGCGACAAACCGTAAAGGTAAAGGTTTCCCCTTGATGTTAAGTCCAGTCATGTCGGTGCTCATCTCTGTTTCCTAGCTGAGGGAGCCAGCGGACCACAGACAGTCTCTGTGGTCATGTGGTCAGCATGACTAAACACTGAAGTGCACGGAACGCTGTTACCTTCCCACCTAAGTGGTACCTTTTGATCTACTTGCATTTACATGCTTTCGAACTGCAAGGTTGGCAGGAACTGGGACAGAGCAATGGGAACTCACCCTGTTGTGCAGACTCGAACCGGCAACCTTTCGAGCAACCAGCACAGCAGTTTAAACCACTGTGCCACCTGCATCCCCTAAACAAACCACAGTTGAAATAAACCACAACTTCGTGTTACATGTGAACACAGCTATTCGCTGCACCAGCAAACCAAGCAGCACTGTGCTGCCTTCTGCATCCCTGCTCTTCATTTCTGCCCAGCATATGACTCATCTGACCTTGGGCTGTGTGTTTTTCTTGTCAAGATGGTGTTAATGAAAAGTGGGCACAAAGCTAAAATCAACTTCATGAGGGCATTGCCCCTATCCGGAAGCACCATCCTGGGTTTCCAGGGCTCTAAAGCTGGCATTCCTCTTGAGTAAATAGTCAGAGCTTTTTGTATTTTTCCCCTGATTGACAGTGAACCGACGTCAACATCCCGTTGCCAGGAGTTGGAGCTAATGCAAAGTGGGAGTTCCTGGAGCAGTGCTGTGCTGGACCAGGGGGAAAAATTCCCTTCCTCCGCTTGACAGTCTGCTGTTGGCGGTGCTGCTCTTTTCTACCTCAAGCAGAACAGAAGGAAGGTAAATGCAGATCGTGTTCTCCCAAGTCAGATATTCCTTACTGTGACTGTGGTGGTTGAGCTGCAACTCACAGGGAAGGACTTCTGGGCGAATCCCTCAGAAGGCTGCTGGTTGGTGCAAGAAGAGATTCCAGGTAGGTGAGGGACGGGACGGGACGGGACGGGAAGGGAAGGGCTACTTCAGCAGCTGGATGAATGTAGATAGCCGTAGATAAAGTGATGGAAACACTATCTGTAGACGTCGGCTGCAATGCTTGTACTATCTGGGTTCCCTAGGGGGTGCCCCCAAACACTTTTCTTGGTGCCAGCCAGGTTCCCTGCACCTTCTGATTTCTGAAATTCCCTTTCTTAAGACTTCCTTTAAATTAAAACGTCTTAAAAATGGGAGACTTGCATCCTGTCAAGCAGAGTACCTCCCAGCACCATCTTTGTTTGGGCTTGAGAGAGAGATGGTGTATTTTGGAGTTCAGAGTCCAACCTCTGCCTTCGATTTAAGTTATTTGGTCTCACCTGTTTGCGTTCTGCAGAATGAGGGCTTTGTGCCTAGCCATGCTCAGTGCAGCAGCTCTTTAAGGAGGGGGAAGCTGTCTCCATGGCAGTGGTTTTTTAAGAACATCCACAATACTCTCTCCAGAACTCAAGCGCGCTCTCAGGAGGTTGGAGAACACTCTGCAGTGCTGCTGTGGCTCACTTGAAACAGCCTTGCTTCATGCCTGGCTGCCACGTCTCAATGAGGGAACTTCTTAAGGGCCGATACTGTGCTTTCGGGACTCTAGGCCAGCCAGACCCAATTCTGAGACGTCTTCACGAGGCAGTGCCTTGTCAGTAGCATCCAAAACGCTCATGCTTGTGATGACCGCGGACCCATTAAGTTTGTGCTCGGCCATCAGACCTGTACTTCTCTTCGATGGCAGTAGCATGGGGAGACGCCTCGAAGAAGAGCAGTGGCAAATGAAAAGGTTTGCCTTGCTTTGCATCTTAGCTCAGACGCAGAATGCACATTTGCAGATAATACTGAGCCACCCGTGCAAACAAGATCTGCAGTTAGGGCTCCAGAAAAGAGCAATAGAAAGTGGGGAGTTCATATCTCCCTATTCTGGACCAGCTATGAACGTGGGGAAGGGTTAGAGTTAGAGAGCTGTCAGTTTCGTGCTTATATTAGGAGAATTAATGTCTCGGCAGGTGACACTGCCTTTGCCCCCCTTTTTGGTGAACATCCTCATTTAGCTTCTCCCCATACCTGCCATTTTGAGGCTTCTGAATTGGGTTAATAAGTTGTTCCTCTCTTTGAGTATTATTCCCCCCCAGTCCTCATCAGCTGTGCAAATTAGCCTTTGTACAATAATGCCATGTCAGTTTTCTTGTATGTTCCCTACTTTACCTTACCTGTCAAAGGAAACACCTAAACTTGCAAGGGAATTGACCAGAAAAGACCACACGTGTTGGAGAGGTCCAAGTTTACTCTTGCATCTTCCCAAAGACCAATCATAAGAATTTTAAAAATATGTATGTATTTTGATTTCTATGCCGCCCAACGGCTAACGCTGTTGCAGCCCTTGGGCCTTGTCTAGGGTGTAGGTTTTAGGGTTGCTGAACAAGTGGTGGTTGCTCTGAAGTGCCATTTGGGCACGCGCTGGGGGGCTGTCTCTGACAGCAGAGCATGCGCCACCCCTGGCATCAGCGGCAGTGTCCCTGTGCTTACTGGTTGCTGGGGAGGGTCCGCACAATCGTGTCTTGCTTGTGGGTTTTTGGTGGGCAGCTGGTTGGCAATCGTGTGAGCAGACGGTTGGATGAGGCAGACGCTCGCTCTGATCCAACCAGGCTTTTCATACCTTCCTGGAGAGTGTTTCTTCTTCTAGTAGAGGGAAGGTATGTCTATATGTGAGCGCGTGGGGTTAGTTTATAGGGAGCATTGAAGGGACCAAGAGAAAAAAATATTTATTGGAATGAATTTAAGACAAGCAGAATATGGGGGGGGCGGTTTATGTGCCTTGACACCCCCACTACTCCAGCAGACACGCTGTCTGGTCTTTAGGGTGGTGCACCCCTGCTTTGGGAGAAAAAACATGATGAAATCAGAGCAGCCTAGAAGTTAATAATTACCATCCAGGTATACACTGTGGATCCAGTTAGTGCTTGTCCATTGGAAACTGCTCTGTAAAACTTTGATCTGCTGAGCTATTGCCACATGGGTGGAAAACTGGTCTTCTGCCAGCTGTGAGTGGGGATGCCAACTTGCAATGGGTGGGGGAGGGACAGCCCCCCAGCAGCCCATTCAGAGATGTTCTAAAGTGTGGAAAGCTCGGAGTACTGGTGCCCTGGATCCTTGAACTGACAAACTGTGTCCAGCAGTCGTTCCGTTTCTCCTAATGCCCAGCATCCTCTTAACCTGGGATGCAGGCATGAAAAACACCTGTTCTTATGCCACGTTTGGAGCCTCCCCCAGCTACCATCTCATATCCTGGAGAGAAGGGGAGGGTTGCATTTCCCTTTCTGTGGACTCTGGCTGCTGGTCTATTTTTATGATATCCCAATGGATCCCTGTACCAGTCACAAAGGGCAGTATCTGTCCCTGCCCTTTCTCCAGCTCTGAGCTGCCAGCTCACCTGACTGATCAAAAGGAGGCAACCTTTGTGCTCATCTAAGGTCACAGAGACTTCCTCTTGCAAAGCTGAAGTCAGAAAATGTCACATCACCAGTTTAATGGCCCTCAGTTACAGTGGACGTGCTGGGTTGCAACCCCCATTGTCCCCAGCCGTCACGGGGTGGGAAGGGAAATCACAGTGCCTTCTGAAGGACACGAAGCTCACGAAGGCTCCACTGCAGAAGCCACTTTCTCTCAGTTTGGCTGGGTCTTCTGCCATGGGGCTGAACAGACCTTCAAAGTGTCGTTTGGATGTTGGCTGATCCCATTGGCTTTGTCTGTGTGGTCTACCCTTCAGTAGGTGGGAATGAGCTGCCTAAGAGGAGCCCGCTGGTCTTGGTTGCCCCCAGTCCCGTTCTGCACAGTGGTGGTGGCTCTCCTGGGACTTTTTAAAATGGCACTTTGATTGAATTAGCTTCAACATGGCTTATGACAGAGAATAAAAATGCAGGCAAGTACACAGACCTGCGAGACCAGCCTTCTTTGCCCCCAGTCGATGAGGTTGGAATATTCTGCTTTTGGGCTGTGCAGACCCAGCCTAAGTGGCCAAAGGAGCAGTTCTTTTTCTGGCTGTGGATTGGCCAGTTGCGCTTTTCCCTGCTGTTAGAGGGAAGGGATTCAGCCAGAAAGAGTGTTTCGAAAGTACTCTTAGTGCAACCAGGTGATTTCTTGGTGTATGATTCATAAACCATATCACACTGGCTCCGTATTTACAGCTCCGGCTGCAGGGAATTTCCGGGCATCACTTAAGGTGCTGGCATTTATCTGGCCCAGTTGCCAGATTCGTATGACTCTGCCTCTGGTTGAAGATCACCTTTACGGGGTCTTTCTGTGTGTCCCACCATTGACAAATTAAGTTGGTGGGAATATAGGATCTTCTCCATGGGAGAGCTCTCTGTTTGGAGAAGTCTGTTCAGTTTTAAATGGTCTGTTCAAGCCCCTTCCTTCCACTGGGCTTTTTAGTATGGTAAGAGCACAGTCCCGTGCGTGCTGAGACAGAAAAGGTTCCACAACTCTCACGTTGGCATGCTGAAAGTTGTAGGCCTTTTTTCTGTCCAAACGTGCATAGGATTGTTCCTTAAATCTTACAGCCCCACGCTTGGCCTTTAAATAGCTTTAATGTTTTTAACATTTTAATGTGTAAGAAATGTTTCAAGTTTTAATTACAAGTTGTCCTGGGTGTCTTATTTAGGCCAAAAGGCAACTCATAAACGTATACATAAAATCTCCCAGGGGTCTTACATCTTCTGGCTGATGGGACCAGAGGCCATAAAAAATAAGCTTACAATCCCAAGAGGGCTCCCCCAGTACGTGCTTGTCTTTAAAACCGCACAGCTGTCTTTGATGCGGGACAATTTGCCACAGGTCTCCGCTTCATTTCTGACAGTGGAGTTGTACCTCGTCTCCCCGCCTCCATTCTAGTCACCTCGCTTATGTTTGTGTGCATTTCTGACTTCCCTGTAAGTCTCCAGCACACATCTCTCTCGCAATCACCTACGCACTTTCCAGGGGCACACGCTTGTTGCATGGAAAGCCTCAAGGCGGAGTGGGAGAATGCCCACTGCTTCCCACTCTGGCCTTTTGGCTTCCAGCAAGGTGCAGATGTACGTAAAATGCTCTAATCAGTTGGCACACCTGCCTTGCCATGCCAGGACAAAGTTGGGTGCTGCCCCAGAGTTCAAAGTCACACGACGGCTGGTTGTAGAACGAGCATTGTGGTGCTCCTCTCCTGTTCATTCGTTTTGCAAAAAGGGACGAAGGAATCGGGATAAACAAACGAGCGAAAGCAGATTATTTTTTTCCAAAAAGGTCTAACCTATATAGTTTTTATCTGTCTACTTGCCAGCTTACAAGCAAGAACAATATGCCAAGCTATACTTCTTACATCCCTAAGCAATCATGGTGAGAGGTAATTACACAGTCATGTGCATAAGGAAGGAGCTGGCTGTTGTGTGAACAGACTTCCTCCTTTGAAAATAGTGTGTGACAGTTTCGCTTGGTTGGAGTGGATAGTAGGAATCTCACCTTACAACCATGGGAGGCGACACCTGTGTTTATAATGCCTGGATTCTTATTGTTTGCTCAGGAGCCATGAGCTTGAGTGGTTCAACCATCACAGGGTATTTTGCTAGTGTGTGGTGTCCCTACCTTCCCCCTCCCCCCCCGCAACTGCAGTGCAACCCTCAAGAGCACCTCCATAATGAGACTTGGCCCTTGTGCTGAAAGAGACTTGTGAGGAAGGTGATCTTTCAGGTAACCTGATCCTAAACTCGTTCAGGGCCTTATGAGATAGGAAGACTATCTCTGCAGAACAGAATACAGGCGTTACTCTGTTCTGCAGAGTTATTCTGTTTTGT